TGCAGTAATTGTCACTGAGCTCTGCTTAATTTAATCCTGATGTTTATAAACTGGTGATGGGGAACTGGCTGGGTGCTTACTCAGTTTTATCTTAGCGAGTATCTACTTGACAGCCTGTGTTGATTTTTAACCAATTCCATAGTGAATAAGTCTCTCAGAAAAAAATAAAAAAGAAAGAAAAAGCACAAATAGCACACGACTGAAAAGGAAACAACAAGGCGTAATGAAAGTACTGTACTGTTTCTACCTGCTTTATAGCTGTTGCTAGTAAATACGGATTTTCTTTCAGTCTTTGACTGTCAGCTGTGTACTTCTCGCCAGTACTGAACTCGCTTAAAATCTGGTGTTCCTGATAACCTGTTAGTCCCCTGTTGAGCTTGGTAACTGTTCAGTCAAAAAGCTTGGAAACCATTGCTACTGGGTTATTAGATGGTTGAATTTATTTATACATGTCTGAGAATATCAAAGAACTACAGTTCTTAGGAAATTCTAGGGATAGAGCTAGTTCACACTAATGTGTGTTTAAACGTAACACAGGAATGCATTCTTCCCACTTTGGTAAGAATGCGAATTGAGTTTGAGCTAAGCTCGGATCAGTGCTCTTTCCATAATGCATATCTCATTTAAATATATATTCCTGTTAAAGAAAGTTATTTCATACATAAATGTGCCAGATGGACAACCTTGGTACAGAAGGTACTGATCCTCAACCTATCTCCCCACTATTTTAATACTCAAAGCTATCAATAGTTAAACATTTAATGAGCGTTTAATTCTTAGTATTGAAAAACTTAATAGACCACTTAACTACCTAACAGTGGTGTTTGACAGAACTCGGAGGAAGAGTAGTTCTAATGAAACATGGTTAATTGGAGAGACTTTGTGCTGGTGGTGTACAGGTTGGAAAATGGTGGCTTTTTTGCAAAGTTGTTTATGTTCACAACTTTGACTTACACATGCAGAGCACTGTCCTTTTTAAGAGAGCTTTTTAAAATAGCAGAAGTGGAAGGGAGTTGAGTTGGAATGTAAGAGTAATATATACTAGTTGTGTCTGATCTTTAATTAAAAAAAAAAAAAGAAATAGTACAGACAGTTAGGACTTTCCTTTTTTTAAAAAAAGAAAGTTTTGTGAAACCCTAGCTCATTCAGCTGGATAAACTGGGACTTCTACCAGGTTCTACCTTCAAACCATGGGGGGTAAAAAAAAAAAAAGTGGACTTCCTATCTTTGGGTCTTTGGGTGAAGGCTCACTTCATCCAGCCAGATCACATCTTCAACAAACTGACGTTCTGACTCAGCCCACTTTAACTTAGGGATGCTCGGGTTTCCAGACCATAGTGAAGGTCTGGTCTTTCTTTTGGTTTGGATTAATTCTTTGTTTTAATCAATCATGGTGCATCAAAAATATGGGAATGTTGCAAATGTGTTTTAGGTGCGACTAGGAAGAAACGCATTGCAGCATGTTTATTTCAGAGTAAATGTAATTTTTTATTATTCAGGCCTGAGAAAAGGACAGTGCTCTGGCTTTCTAAAATACACTTGCTGAATTCTGATTTACACATGAATCTTTTTTTTTTTTTTTTTTTTTTCTTTTTGTCTCTTCCTGAATCTCCACCATAAATCCTCATGCTTGCTTCCCTCCCATAACATTCCCTTCACACTCCCATCCCATGACACTTCTTCACAGCTTTGTTCATCGTGGACGGCCTGAGCCTCTGGACCTTCATCTGGGCATGTTCCTCCCCACCCTTCTCACCCAGGCAACCCCAGAGCAGCAGGATCGCTTCTTCATGCCTGCCTGGAACCTGGAGATCATTGGCACTTATGCCCAGACTGAAATGGGCCATGGTACAGTACATTCACTAAATGCTATTTTTAAGAGTGGCTTTGCGTACAAAGGATTCCGCTGCCTGGGAAAAATGGTGTGTGTTTACCCCACAGCCTTTACGCATGCAGTTGTGGCTATAGGGAAAAGCGGACTGCCTCTGAAATTTTTAGTAGATGATTATGCCACTTGCTGCTTGCCCTTTTTTTCTCCTGTGGGAGAGTTTGATGTCTGTATATGAGCGTAGAGTGCTCTTCTTGCCATTCAAACCAGTATAGATTATTGCATGTGGCTATGGTGATGTCAATTTGATGACATCCGTTCACTTCTACACTTACCATTCTTTCCAGTGTGATTTCTGCTTTGCTCTACTTAATGTTCAGTGTGAAGACAAAAGGACAGAGCTTTAAAGTGCTGAAAGAGATGCCAAAAAAGTAAGAGTTGCTTGTCACCTTGGGACTGACCTTGGATCAGAGAACATGTGGATGACTTGGTTCCAATGCTCATGTTTTGTGGGGAGCTTTATTCCCCCAGTTCTTTGGTTCACTCCCATGTGTTCTTTTTTAATTGGACCATGAAATGTGCTTTTTTTTTTTTTAATCTTCTGTCTCAAGTAGACTTTGTTCTTTGTTGTTATTCCTTTGCTTTCAAGCCTTGAAATGGATTTTGATAACTCCAGCAGTATTGTGATCGCAACACTTCTAATCCAAGTTTCAAAGGGAGGATATTATGCCTTGGGAAACTTTGATTTTGACATCTGAGAGTTGCAGATGAGAATTATTTTCTAAAAGTGAGCAGGATTCACCTTTGGGCTGAAGCGAAATGTAGAGACTATACGAAGCATAAAGTAACTGCAAGTCTGTGGAGAATCTCTTGCAACTAGTGAGGTTTGAAGATCCTTTCCCGGCAAAGTAAGCCTGTGTTAAGCTGCCTGTGGAAGTCTACAGCTACCTCCATGCTTTGGAAATGTGGTTGCATCAAGGTGATATGCTTTTTCATGTTGAAGCTCTTGTGTAGAGTCGCTGGCTCTGTCTTGCTTGGTCAGTCCAGACTATCAGGAGTGTTCACAGTTTGTCTAGTTTAAGCAAGTAGGCCCCGTGACTTTCTATATTTTTTTTAATGCATGCAGGGACAGTGCCACTGCTGCGACAGGTGTGTGTGAAGTAAAGGGTTGGGGGCAGAAGACAAAGACTGTTCCTGGAATTGTTACCTTCATCTTCTTGCAGTTTCTTCATCTACCTGCATCAGTAACCTAGCATATACATGCCATTAATTGCTGTCTTGGAGCTATGGATGGTCTCGTTTGGGAGAAACTGCTCCATCTAATGAGGAGAATGTAGGCCTGATGAAGGAATGAAGAAATGATGGGCACTACTTAGTTCATCTTGTGGCTGAAAAGTATATAGTATTTAGTTTGCAGTTGAATCAGATGGCAGTTTTAGTGAAATCCAGGTGAGCGTGTTTTTGTGGACCTTTTTAACAGAAAAAGGGCTTCTGGTGTGTAATAGCAAAAAGGTGTCAGATTGGAGGTGCTTGGAAAACTAGTCTTAGACCACTGGGAAAAAAACCCAACATGTTTCCTGAGAATTGGCTTCGCGTCCCAGAATATGGTCTGACTCTCACTGGTTCTTCCTTTATTGGTTGATGTTTAATCCTTTATATAGCATAAAAGTAAAATTAAAATTTGTACATTACTACTGGAGTTCAACTTTCCATTGTCCAATTCTGTCCTTGTCTCTGTTTTGTAACTGATTTTCTGCGAAAACAATGTGTTTGCTTATTTTCAGGAACTCATCTTCGGGGTCTAGAAACTACAGCTACTTATGACCCTGCTACCCAGGAATTTATCCTCAACAGCCCCACTGTGACCTCCATTAAGTGGTGGCCAGGTGGACGTAAGTGCATCACTGTGTGTCTAAATCTGGAAGATGTATGGAAAAACTTAGAGAGGTGATGTCATGTGTATTATATCTTTAGAATGGTGGGTGATTGAAAGTTGATCCCTCGAGTCGGCTGAAAGGCTCCTCTTGCGCAAGTAACAGACTTACCAGAGCCTACTAAAACTTTGAATTATCTATACGCTCGGAGTTGTTTCTCAGAATCATTCACACTGTATGGATTTGGTGTAATTTTTGATCAATTGTATCAAAATCTTTGATTCCTTCAGGTCCACTGGCAGGTTTGCCAAGGACTTGGTAATGTGTAATCAAGAGAATCGTATTGTGCAGCTTTCATTGACTTGAGCAACGTTGTTTGTCCAGCTGTAGAATTCAGATGATAACCATTGTTGTAAGTCTGGTTTTCTAACACAGGATGTGGTTAAGGTAATCTCAGATCCTGCTTTAAGGAAAAAGCCTCTCTGTACAATGTGGGCTTTTTTTTCTTTCTGATTCCCACTCCTTTTGCAGTTGGAAAGACGTCGAACCATGCCATTGTTCTGGCTCAGCTCTACACTCAGGGCCAGTGCAAGGGGCTGCATGCCTTCATTGTTCCCATACGGCAGCTGGGCACCCATGAACCTTTGCCAGGTAAAAAATTTATGTTTAAGGGTTTAGCATTCATGGAATACCTTAGATCTGTTTCTCTCCAGCTGTATACAGCTGCATGTGCCTTGTTAATGTACATGGCTTATTTCACTAGCTGATTTCTGAGTAGATGGTAGGTCACAGGGCTTAAAGGAGTCTTTACTATGACTGAATTACCCCCTAAATCATCTTGTATGTCACGCTTCCAATGTGAAGGTTAGTTTGGGATTTGATTCTGTCCTAGTGTTTCCCAGTTACACATTCTGTGAGGCAGCACGTCCTTCTACTTTCTGAAAGGGAAAGAATACCTTTTGTCATTCTCTAGCTACAAGTGAGCTAGATCATCTTTAGAAGCAGCTCCCCCAGTGACTGGATAGCAGGACTGCATGTAAATTACGAAGATCCTCATGTTTTGATGTCCACTTTTCCATCAAAGAGATTAAGGTCCTCATTAGCTGTTACTCTCAATGCCAGGACTTGCTGGAAAACTAAACTTTAGTCTCTTTATTGGAGCAGGCTTGAACCTCTCATGTGGTGTTTAGTTCCTATTTCTTAATGCGAGTGTCTTTTTCTCTGACAGGTATTACAGTGGGTGACATCGGGCCAAAATTTGGTTATGATGAAATGGATAATGGCTACCTGAAAATGGACAACTTCAGAATTCCTCGGGAAAACATGCTCATGAAATATGCCCAGGTAAGGCAGTGTGTTTCAGTATATGCTGTTAGAAATGGACATTTCAAAGGCTCTTGTGTGGTTGAATATTGTACCAACAAGATTGTAGGTTGCTTGTGCTCCTTGATGAGTTTAGAGCTTGAGATGTGAACATGTAAATGGGAGGAAACTATAAAAATCAACAGGCTGTATTTCTTTATTTCTTTTTTTTTTTTTTTTGTAGGTTGAACCAGATGGCACCTATGTGAAACCACTTAGTGACAAGCTAACTTATGGGACCATGGTGTTCATCCGATCTCTCATCGTAGGCGATTCAGCTCGCTCCCTGTCCCGGGCTTGTACCATTGCCATCCGCTATAGTGCAGTGAGACACCAGTCTGAGCTCAAGCCAGGGTAAGTGCAGTGAGATAAAAGAGCAACCTGAGTGCTGAGGGAAAATTCCCAAATACTGGGGGGAAGAGGGACTGTGGTTGATGTTGTTTGCTTTGGCACTTGATAGTTTCCAAACACTGTTTTAACCTGGGAAGCGAGTAATCTTTCTTTCTTGACTGCCAAAATATCTAGGCCATGCCAGAGGCTTCTGCTGTATGGTCTTAGATAGTCTGGCTTGATACAGCTGCAGCTTGTACTATCCAAGTGGAGAAGCTGCTTAGAGTTGAATAGGACTTTGTAGCAGTTTGCTAGCCACTGGCGTACTAACTCATCTGTATTTTGCTCTAGGGAACCAGAACCCCAGATATTGGATTATCAGACCCAACAATACAAACTCTTTCCTCTGCTGGCAACAGCATATGCTTTTCACTTTGTTGGAGCCTACATAAAAGACACCTATCGTCGTATTAGTGGGGACATCAATGAAGGGGATCTGAGTGAGCTGCCAGAGGTACTGTGTCCTCTGTTGATTTTAAGTAAGGTTTCTTTACAGCATGGGAGAAAAGGCATCATGCCTTTTTGGCTTTCTCTCATGAGATGTCCTGCAATTCTTTAGATTCAGAGTTCCCAAGCCCAGTATGTGCTGGTGATTTATTTCTTTATTTGCACTATCACTTAGCATCCCTTTACAAAAAAAAAAAAAAAAGGAGTAATTCACAGTGAGAAAGCTACTGTGAATATATTTTTGAAAAAGGTGACTTTCAAGGAATGATGGTATATCGCTTTGGAGTGGAGTTAAGACTGGTCTTATGCTTGTGCTGTAGCTTCTTGATTGTTCTTCCAAGTCATAAGGGTAGAACTGGTGTGTTGATCAAAGGTATCAGTACTATTCTGAGGGGTTAGGGTTGTAAAATGTCAGTTTTCAGTTAAGGATTCTATCTGAGAACCTAATGTGACAGTAGGCGATTGGAAACAGTCTTGGACATAATGCATAGAGACAGAAATGATGGGTACTCAAAAGAAATCTTTACATGTATAGAGGCTTTCATAGAAATAGTTTGGCTCAGGAAAAAGTCCTTACAAGAAGAACAGGACCCTGTGGGACACTGGAAGGATGGCGTTGACTCTACTTTTTTTCTGAGAGCTGCGGTACTTAGCATGTAGGAGTGCAATCTAAGAATGGAAAATAAAAAAATCTAAACTGGCTTTGCTTTTGTCCGTCAGCTCCATGCACTGACAGCAGGGCTGAAGGCGTTCACTTCCTGGACAGTCAACACTGGTATTGAGGAATGTCGGATGGCCTGTGGTGGGCATGGCTAATCTCGCTGCAGTGGGATTCCTGACATCTATGTCACGTTCACCCCATCCTGCACCTATGAGGGAGAAAACACAGTCATGATGCTGCAGACAGCTAGGTATGGTAGCTTCTGTCCAGAGACATTCTTGCCTTGGTGTTACGGTCTTTGTAGCTGAAGTGATGAGCAGAAGAGTATCCCATGTTACCATGAAACTGGTCTCTCGTGTTTCTGTCCCTTGCCTTATTTTTGACAGAAAGGTATATGCCTACAACTGTTCTTTCCTAGTCTGACCCAAGGTAAGATGACTTCTCTCCATTCAAACAACTCATGAGTAAAAGTTGTCGTTTGTTGTCTCTGTTTTCAGGTTCCTTGTCAAAAGCTACACCCAAGTTAGTTCTGGACAGCGGGTTACTGGCATGGTGTCCTACCTTAACGACCTCTCCACGCAACGCATTCAGCCACAGCATGTGGCTGCTAGAACTGTGACTGTGCGGATCAATGATCCAGTCAGTTTGGTAGAGGCCTACAAAGCACGTGCTGCCCGGTGAGTTCACACTCATTAGACTGAGCCAAGCACCAGTAAAATTACGTGTTGTGAGAGATGGTAGTGATGTGCTGCCCCGTTAATGTTAGATTCTCAAGATGTGGTTTGCAAAGCTTTGCTCCATGCGTTGCTTTCAAGAAGTGACACACTTTACTAGGTGAGGTCTGTGTTAAGTGCTTTGAGGTTACAAGAGGATACATACAGCCTACGCATAGCCTAGTTACTCTGCTCTGTTCCATTTTGAAATATCTTTTTTACTTTATTACTTTATTTAAAAGTAAGGTATATTTGAGCACACAAATACCAACATTGTTTAAACTGCTGAGAGATCCATCTGGAGAGAAACAATCCTGATATTAAAGCCTGTTGTGAAGGAGGTGTGAGAGTAGAACAGATACCTATATGTGAGTATATATTCAAGCACCATGTATGTGGTATCAAATGTTGTCTTGCCCCTCTGTAGCTGTGTTCTAGCTGCAGCAGTGGTGATAAGTGTGTTAGAACCACAACTGCTCACTCCAGGCAATGTATTCAGTCGTGGCACACGACCTCCGAGTTCTTATGTGTTAGACTGAAATTCGTATGAATTCAGTATACATAATCTTGTTAATGTTCTGTTATTGCATAACCTGTTTTTCTTTCTTTTATGAAATAGACTTGTAGAAGCTGCAGCAAAGAATTTGCAAGCTGAACTGAACCACAGAAAGAGCAAGGAGGATGCCTGGAACAGAACTTCTGTTGATCTTGTGCGAGCATCTGAGGTCAGTGATGTGCCCGATAAAGAAATATGCTATAGAAGCTTCTCATTTTTTCATGAGCCTGATTCACCTTCCTTTCATTTCTTGCAGGCACACTGTCACTACGTGATAGTGAAGCTTTTCACAGCAAAGCTGTCTGAGATCAGTAATGCAGCTGTTCGTGCTGTCCTGACTGAGCTTTGTCTCCTGTATGCACTGTATGGGATCAGTAAGAGCACAGGGGATTTCTTGCAGGTTAGTGTCTTTCTCCAGCGTTTTAAGTCTCTAGAGCCAGAGTCACTGTTTGCAAAGATGCTTTAAATGCAAAGTCAAATGAATGTTTAGGTGTAAGGTTTTGACTGTTGATTTCCAGAAGGCCGTTAGCAGTGCAGGTCTGATGGAGGGCTCCTGTCAGGTTTCCCTTGTGATCTGCCAGAAGCAGAGTTGGGTGATAAATGGTAACATGGCATTTGTCTGGGATAGCTTAAATGTTTTCCAGCTGGTGACCAGGCGTTGTATGTTAAAACCCAAGGAGTTAATAAAGGAGATGTAAGTTAGACGTGCTCTGAGCGCTGTAGGCATTTGTAAATTAGTGCACAAAAGGCGGGTATTATACTCCAAATCTTAACTCATGGGTTTAAATTGTCAGGCATTACTTTTCTTCTTTCCATTCTTTCAGTTTAAGAATGTATTTGTGCAGCAGTGTTTTATTTTGTCTTCAGGCAGATGTGGTATGTTTTGTCTTCCCATTTTCCTCCTTCTGCTTGGCAAAAAGTTCACTGAAACCAGGAAGAATTTAATATACAGATATGCACATTCTTCAAGAAAACTTACTATTAAAGTTAACATACAAGCATTCTAAAGAATGAGTCTCCCATCAAAGATTAAATAGCTAAGCAGTATGGTGAGCTCTACTAGGCATCTTCTTTTGCTTCTACACTATGGCAAATTGCTAAATTGATTACTTAGCACTTATAAAACATTAGGGTCATTTTTCTGAACTGCTGCATTTTGGGAGGGTGGGAGGGGGAGGCTGACCTATGTTAGACTGTAGGGGAAGGGAAGGTTCTTGCGACTTGCATACTCTTCTGATAATCTCTTTTTTTTTTCCCAAGGCGGGTATTCTGACCGATGCCCAAATTACTCAAGTGAACCAGCGTGTAAAAGAGCTCTTGGCTATAATTCGTCCCAACGCAGTAGCACTGGTGGATTCCTTTGACTTTCATGATGTTCATCTTGGATCTGTGCTTGGCCGATATGATGGCAATGTCTATGAGAACATGTTTGAGTGGGCAAAGAAATCCCCACTGAACAAAACAGAGGTAAAGAAACTTTATTTTTTCATCTTTAGGTCGCATATGTACAGAGAAATAACCCAATTTAGTTTTTTTTATTTTGATCTAGTGTTCTCAGCATGTAATCAATGAAGTGGGGGGAAAAGTCACTAGTGGTAATGGACCAAACCTGACGACCTACTACAGCTCCTCTGCTTTCAGTGTACTTCAGTTACTCTGCCATGTGTCTCATGCATCCCTGTGGGATACTTTTGAGTTTCTCAGTTGAGGAAGGAAATTGTACTGTCCCGAGAGAAGCAACTGAATAATCACATTGAATTTAAAAGAAATTATCACTTGCTGTTAATTCTGCTTAGTAGCAGTAGCTGTGAAAGCTGCGCCTGTTTTCTGACAAATCTTTCAGTGCCTTCAGGCACTCCAGTGACTGGAGAAGAAAATAAATTGCTCTCATGTAGTACTTAAGTGTCAGGAGTTGCATATCTGCCCTAAGGCTGTAGCTACAGCTGAGCCAATAAAAGAAGCTGAGCTGAGAAGAGTCAGTGTCCCTCTTCTATCAGCCAAAACAGAACTCTAAATCCTGTCTCAGTGGCCTTTATTACCTGGATTTGATTTGGACAGACTGTCTCCTACGATGGGCTGCCAGAGACTGGGATTGTAGTTAAATCCCACCAGAACTTGCTCAATTTTTTGTGCTTCTGAAGTCAGTGGGGCTTAGGAGCTTCATTACAGTCCCCTTAGGAGACCTCTGCCAGCTTTCTTTGAATTAAAATGCCAAAGAATTGTGTGGGGATGTCTTGCATTCTTTTTTTCTTGCAAGAAAGGTAGTGAGGAAGCTATTTGTTTTGGCTTACGTGCTCATCCTTAGTGTCATATAGACACTCAAATACAGAACTTAGCTGGCTGTAATCCCCAAAGTGTCTCTGATTCAAATTTCCTTAGTGTAAAATAACACTGCAAGATGTAGAGAGTTCTAAAACTCAGGCCTGACCTTGTTTTTACCACTGTCTTGTCCTCTTTACAGGTTCATGAGTCTTTCCGCAAACACCTGAAGCCGATGCAAGCCAAGCTGTGAAGCCTGCTGTGTTTTCAAACTGCATACTTTTCCTGCCCTGAAAACCGGGTGTTTGTGTCCTTTCTTCAGGCACTTAAATCAAACCTTTCAAATCCTGATAGCTATAGGACAGTGAATAATTGTAGCCTTTCTTTCCACTTTTATGAATCGAGGAGGTGCTTGGGGAGAGTGCATAGGGATTGATGGCTGGTTTTAAAGTGCAATTATAATGGTAAAATTAACCTTTTAAAAAATCTGGGAAAGCTTTATGGATTCATACATGGATTGCTTTTGTGAAGCTGCTAACTAGAGAGAAGTTACTGTCAACTGGAAAGGTAGCAGGATTTTACTACTAAGTAGTTAACAGCCCTTAGGCAGTAGCTTCTAATGAGCAGTTGTGTCCTCCCCCCAAGAAAGCATCACTATCTTGATGGTTTTTTTCCTTTTTAATTTTTTTTTTTTTAAGATTAGCACCACGTCTCTCCTTGTTTGGCAAATATTTATGCTATCTAAAGCCTCCCCCATAGTTTTGTGCATATGAATCTGCATGTGGCACTAGTTTCCTGATGTAGCTGGGAAGTAAATACCCATCTTTGTCTGGAGCTCTGCTTCATTCACCTTTCCAGAAGACATCTTCATATTTTCCAATACATCCTTCTTTCACTGCCCTGCAGAAACTCCTTTTGCTTGTGTGCCATCTCCGACACTGGCACCTTACTCTTTGTTAATAGGAAGTCAAAGGAGAACATAGTTTTGCTGCTCTGAGGACAAAAAGCAAGTAGTAATAATCAGCGAGGTGCTGAGAATAGATGTTCTGCCCTTCTTTTAACTGTTAGTATTTTCATAGCACTATCTCAACGCACTTTACAAATGTTAATTGTGGTGATTTGATGTGAAAAACCACATGTAGCGGTAAAAACCGCAAATTTAACCTGGAATGATGAAGCCAGTATTTGAGGGCAGATATCAGTTGACCAAGGTCCTTGGGACTTCATATTGTTCTGGGATGATGTTCTGGTTTTTAATGATATTCTTCAAGAAAATGACAATCCCAAGTGAAGTGTCCAGATTTTTTTCCTACCCATGCATTTCCAAGGAGCTTTCTCTGATTTGCTTAATTTTGTTTTTTTATTGACTTGGGACTTGCACAGTGCTGTCTGGATTTAACAGGTGAAAGATTTAGCTTTTAACAGAACCTCCTGATGCCCAGTGAAATCAGTGCAACTACAACTAAGCAAAATCATTGCTGTTTTTCAATACCAGTAACTGTCCAGTAACAATAAAACTCCTCTTCACAACAGATAAGAGCAACTGTGAGTTTAAAATGGTAAAAAGCTTCAGCATAAACCCAACTCCTGCAGTTCTGAGGCAACATGTGAGAAGCTGCTTCTCTGACAGCTTTGGTATCTGTTAGTCTCTAATGTTGGATCAGTCTTCATGGATGAGTTTTTCCTGGCACTAATAATGATCAGACATGATGTTTGGCTCCACACGCAGTAGCTGAACAGGAAGAAACGTTTAATTTGAAATAAAATAATCAAACTTGCCTTTTGGCTGCTGAGTCTTTCAGGTGGAATGGAACCACTGCTGTTCAGGGTAGCAGAGGAGGCAAAGGGCTTTACCTTCCGTTTATTGAGTAGAGCAGACTGCTGATCTGGGGAGGGATGATGGAGGAGCAGGTTAAAAATATGTTAATGAGAGTGCTAGCTAACTGTATGTACAGATTTAATAAATTACAAAAATGTGTTTTCAGACAAAATGTCTTTTCTTTCATGCAATGCTTTCAGTGGACCTCATTTAAAGTGCTGGGTGAGGAGGAATGAAGTATTCAAAAGACCTTCAATTAGTTGGATTTTACTTGTTTTATTTCTAGTCTGACCTTTCTGGCTTTGCTCTGCAGCGTCCCAGGGCAGCCAGCCCAGTCCAACAGCTGTCCTTGCTGCTGCTGCTGCTCCCAACCGCAGGAAACACAAAATTGGCAGAGAGCAAAGCTGCCTGTGGCACGTTGCTCCGCATTATCACAGCTCATGGGCCAGCAAAAGCTGATCGCTGCCAACAGCAAAGATTTAACCATAGCGTTCGGCAGCAGAAGCTTTAATTCATAGAAGCTATTTCTTTAAAACTGTTTCCCCCCGTTATTTTGGAGTAGATGGTGATGTGACGGCAGATGCTGAACTTCCTTGCTGTCGGTGAGGATATTTTGCGCTTGTACATCTTGCTGCTGTTCCTGGCAATACCTGAATGCCACAACGTGGTGTGACTTGCGTGTCTCGTGGCCAGCAAACAGCATTTAAACTCTGTCAAATCTAACGCCCTCGTTAGGACTCATCCATCTGTTGACAAAATGTGATGGTACCATTTCCACAAGTGTTGAGCCTCTTCCACTCAACTATAAGTGATTTCAGTGTCAAGTAATGGCACCTGTAAGCTGCACCCTTCTCCTTGAAGAGTACTGAAACGAGAGGTCTGTGACCATGGTTTACAGTCTGATTTGATCGATGGACTCTTATAAATGCCACCTTTTGGTGAAGACTTTAGAAGGAGCCCATGTTCCTACATAGACTGGCAGCATGCGTGGTGAAGGCCACTGGTAGGTGGGTCTGCAGGTTATAAAATCTCAAAGGCAGATGTTTCCCCAGGGTTTTTCTGGAAATAAGAATTCAAACAACTAAACTGTCCCACATGGGATGCAGGGAACAGCTCCAGCTGGGCTGTGCCGCACAGCATTGCTTTGTGGAGTACTCATGGCTTCTCCTGGGGGTTCCTTCACCCAGCCTGTGTTTCCTACTGCCAGGCTGGAAGGGCTGGCTGCCGCGCTTCCCTGGCACAACAGCTGTTTGGAGCTGGCACCTTGTGCTTGGACTGGTTTCTGGGTATCTCAAAATGAGACTGCGATTCCTCTTTATCAATTTAAACACCAAGACAGGGCTTTAAAAGCGCAGTGGGGCTGATTATTTGTGCCAAAGACAGCAGGCTGGCTTTGAAGGTATGTCTTCAAAGGTGTCGGTTGAGGGATGTGATTCTGCCCCTCTACTCTGCTCTGGAGAGACCCCACCTGGAGTACTGCGTCCAGCTCTGGAGCCCTCAGCATGGGAAAGACATGGACCTGTTGGAGAGGGTCCAGCAGAGGTCCACGAAGATCATCTGAGGGCTGAAGCACCTCTGCTGGGAGGACAGGCTGAGAGAGTTGGGGTTGTTTGGCCTGGAAAAGAGAAGGCTCTGAGGAGACCATAGAGCCCCTTCCAGTACCTAAAAGGGGCTACAGGAGACCTGGGGAGGGACTTTTGATCAGGGAGTGGAGAGATAGGACCAGGGGTAACAGTTTTAAACTGAAAGAGGGGAGACCTGGATTAGATATGAGGAAGAAATTCTTTGCTGTGCGGGTGGTGAGCCCCTGGGGCAGGTTGCCCCGAGAAGCTGTGGCTGCCCCATCCCTGGAGGTGTTCAAGGCCAGGTTGGACGGGGCTTGGAGCAACCTGGGCTGGTGGGAGGTGTCCCTGCCCAGGGCAGGGGGGTTGGAACTGGATGATCTTTAAGGTCCCTTCCAACCTAAACCATTCTATGATCTTGGGGGTAGCAAAACCCTCATCCCCCGGGTGTCCTCGAGCACCCGGAGCCTCCCGAGGCCCCGTGGGGAACGGGGACGATCCGGCTGCAGCTCTCAGCCCTTATAGCGGGGAGC